TGTGTCCCCTGGGGCTGTGGTGGGGGTCAGCAATGCCACCTGTAGCAGCACAGGGGCGTCAGTGCTTTACCCTATGGCAGTGCTGGGGACCAGTGATGTAGGGGGTCGGGGGTGGCCCCTGTGGCTTCACTAGAGATCTGTGGGGTCCTCTATGCTTTCTGGTGAAGGGCTGGGGATCTGTGGTGTCCCCTATAGCTGTGCTGAGCGCAGCAGCTGGGGGATCTGTGGCGTTCCCTATAGCACTGCTAGGGAGCAGCAGCATCGCCTATAGCTTTGTTGGGAGGGGTGGGTGAGTAGGGTGCTCTATAGCAGACCTCACACAGAAACTGAAATATTACCACCATTCATCTGCAGAGGCTTTGGAAGGGTCTGTCCTTTCCTGGACAGGGGCTTTGGAACCCTCACCACCACTGGGATGGGCCCTGGAGGTCACTGGGTAGAGGACCGGGGCTGGAGGACCCTGTGCTGATGGGGGGGCTGGCAGATGGGGCAGGCACCCGGCCCTAAAATGGCCCTACACAGCTCTGATTTGGGTGGGGGCACCTCCTCTCCTGCTGTCCTGACCCCAAAGCAGGTAAACAACCCATGCCAAACCCAGCTGGGCAATCGGGGCTCGGCCTGGGGCAGGGGAGTGGTGCTGGGCAGCAGTTGGAGAAACATGGAATAAATTTGCACAGCGGTTGCACTGCATACCTGAGATGTCAGGTGTTTATCTTGCTGTTCTCATATGCGGGATCTTTTACAGGGAGGCTCAGCTCTGATTTTTACCCTGACAGATCTATTTGTGGCAGGGATGTGTTGCTGAACCCTTCTGTTTGTCTGTCCAGAGGTGGGGGTGGAAATACAAGGCAATGCCCATGAACTTGATTTACATCCTTAATAGCAAGGAGAATAAAAAAAAAAGCATGAGTTTATAGGTCTGTGGGAAAATGTTATATCAAAACTTCTCCTTTGGAGGAGGTGATGCTTTCACCTTTCACTCCTTTTTGTGTGTTTTCTCACACCTATGGCCCTGCTGAATCTCCCCCCTGCAGTGAGAATGGGGAGTAAGGTAATCCCGGGGCATCTGCAGGTGTGAGTTTCCCCGGCCAGAGCGGGTCGCAGTGCTGCTGCTCTTGGCTCTGTGAGTTGCTGCTAGTGCTGTGTGGTGTTTGTGGGCTGGGTTCAATGAGTCAGTTTTTCAGCAGGCTTGTCCTTCCCTTTTTCAGAGACGTCAGAGGTAAGGATGGCCTGGGAGGTCTTGTTCATATCTTACTCTGAAGAGTTTATTAAGGCAGTAGAGAGGGTGACTTCTCTGGTGTGTTGGAGATATCCCTCCTTGAATAGCATGTCTTTTCTGAAGTCTACTGGACTCTCAATACCTCCCTTACTGGGAGTGGGACATGGTGCCATGCACAGAGGGTGTCTAAAATCACCAAAGACCTTTTTTAACTGTTTTGTCATGTGCCATCTGTAAGCAGGGCAGGCTGTTAACCAGATGACGTTTGTGATGAGTATTTTGGTCTCAGACTTAGCCTCCTTTTCTCCCCCCAAGGTTTTAGCCGAAGGCTTCAGGATGTGTTGCAACTCTGACCTGTTTTCATTTACTGACCTGAGTCAGGCAGGATTGACTTGACGCCAGCCTGAGGCTGAGTGGGTATTGGGATGTTAAATGCAGATCACAAGAAAGAATACTTGCATTCTGGCTTTGAGTGTCAGATGTCCTTGTTTCTTCATTGGATTTGGTGGGGTTTTAATTGTCTGGGATGTTGATGAGAGCACTGGACAGAAGAGATTAATGTAGTCACATGGTTCATTTGATAATGGGATTAACTCATTATAACGTATTGGCTTTGTCCTGCAATGTCTTGTGTCTCATGTAGTTGAACTGCTGGCCTCCTTTGCAGGACTATTGTCCAAACAGGTGACTGCTGCCTGAACCTGTGTTGCTTATGTCCTTTCAGAGCTTCTGCAGTCCCATGGCGACGTACCTGGAGTTCATCCAGCAAAATGAGGAGCGTGACGGAGTGCGTTTCAGCTGGAACGTGTGGCCCTCCAGCAGGCTGGAGGCCACGAGGATGGTTGTCCCCCTGGCCTGTCTTCTGACCCCACTGAAGGAGCGTCTTGACCTGCCGCCTGTGCAGTATGAACCAGTGCTTTGTAGCAGGCCGACTTGCAAAGCGGTGCTCAACCCACTCTGGTATGAATTTCTTGGCTGGGGATGTTAAGAGAGGCTGGATAGTACCTGGTTTTTATCTGAACTTCACTACTTCCTTATTCCCCTTTTTCTCGCCTGATGCCTGGCAGCCTTATTCATTTGGATGTAGTGGATTTGATAAAATCCATGCATGCCTAATGAGATACGTTGAACACCAGCCCGTTACTAGAGCTGCCAGAAACAGAGGGGAGAGGAGTGCCTTTGAGGAGGCTATTAAGGCAGTCGTGATATGAAAATGGCCAGTCCTCTTACCATCCCAGAGAATTTTGTGGTGAATGGTGAAACTTAAACAAAGATGCTGATTATACTGATATTGTCTTCTGGGCTGTGATGTTCACTTGGTTTCCTACTTCCTACACATCCTACTGCTTATAGGTCAGTTCCAGTATGAGCATCAAGGTTTTCTCTGAAGTTTTCTGAGAATTTAAGAGGAATAATCTCGGTCCCAAAATCACGTGATGATTTATATGTAGTGTGATGATTTATATGATTTGTGTGTAGTTGGAGCATAGCATTGGGCAGAGAAAAAGCAGGAAAAGCCAGTAAGAGGAAGTAAGAGGAGATCAAGCCCATGAAATAAGAATATGGCCAGGCTTTACTGCACCAGCAGTTACAGAATGTTGTAATGGGCTAAGGAGAGTAAACTCTTTGGGGCAGGGAACAGCCTGTTTGTTCAGTGTTTGCGCAGGATCTGCGTGAATGGCTCCTGCTGCTTTGTGACTGGAGTACTTGTATCCTAGAGCTGTACAAACAATAAGATGACTGAGATAAGCCCAAGTGTAGTGAAAGAATGATTAGACCCAAGTCTTTGTCTGCCAAAGGCTAAGCTCCAGACAGCTGTCAGTGGACTGTCACGCTGACAAGCCTGGAAGTGGCAGGGCTGGATGAGCTAATGGATTTCATGGCAATAGAACAAGAGTCTGAATCCCTAAAACTCTTGTCGTTCAAGTTGGAGTGTCTGATATTCTGTTTCTTCCTCAGTGGTGTGAACCAGCATAGATAATTGTGAAGCTGCGCTGTAAAATTGTTCCTATAGTTACACTAACACCTCACCTTTCCCTTACAGCCAAGTTGACTATCGGGCCAAGCTCTGGGCTTGTAACTTCTGTTTCCAGAGAAATCAAGTAAGTTGGAAAAAGCATCAGCCCTTCCATCTTTTCAGTGAAGACCTCCCCTGGCAAAGGATGTTAAGCATAAATTCCACTTTCCTAGATTCCTTCCCTTGGCCTTTTTCTCTTGCTGAACCAAGGCCTGAGCACTTGTTAATGGGTCTGTTTCACCTGACGTCTTATTTTCAGTTCCATTTTGCCAGTGATTTTACCAGGATGCAGGGCATAGGAAGGAGATAAAAACGTTTTGTTTCCAGTGTGCTTTTTGCGCTTGTCATTTACTGTTCTTGCCAAGTATGAAATTCATAGATTTGGGTAGACTTTTGCTATCAGAAACTGTTGCATGGCTAAACGAGTTTCAGCTAATGCATGGTCGCTGCTTTAGTCCTACCTTTTATTTACACTGGATTGAGCAGCTGTCCGTACTGCTGGCCACTTGTTGTCTGTGCTTAGGAAAACAGCAGTACGGGTCTCCTGTCATGACTTAATCAGGTTGGTGCAGTGGCAGTAAATAAAGATT